CCAGTATGGCAAAACTCTTGCCAGTCTTGGTTTCTTCAGCAGAAGGCATTTACTTAGGCTAAAGGATGTCAAAGTATTTTGCCTAAGACTATTAGCATCACCTGGAAGCTTATGAGAAATGAAAATTCTCAGGCCCCACCTGAGCCCTACTCAATCAGAAATTCTTAGGTGGGGCCAGCAATCTGTGTTTTAACAAGCCCTCCAGGTGGTTCTGATGACTGCACAAGCATGAGAACCACTGATTGAAGTAATGACTTAGATATATTTATCCAAGTAATACTCAATTTTTCTTTTCTCCCAAGACACATTCTTTTAAGAATAGAAATGTAATTAAAGAAAGCTACGTGCTTTCTTCTTAGAGATGTATCACAAAGATTTTAAACAATGACCTGCAAACCAAATTCAGAAATTTGATTTGCAGGTCATTGTTAATCTATCTTAATTTCTGATTAATCTTCAACAGCTGTTCCTTACGCTATTCAACAAGTCACTTAATCACCCTGTTTCCTAAGTTTTTTGGAGTATGTTACTATTCTTGATAAATGCAGATAAAGTTAACTCAGACGTTCTTTAATGAAATACAATTACATTCACATTAACTAGTCTTCACTACATTTCTAAGTGGTAAGGGCAAGAATAAATATATCAATTAAAAGGTATTGGAAAGAGAAGAAAAATAACATCATTTACTTAAAATCCCCCCAACATTCTGGTACAGCCAGAATTAGATTTCTTAGAATCTTGCCTAATAGAAGTTGGTATGGTCTTGGTTGAAAAGACAGAAGCAAACACTGATGAACCTTCTAAATTACTAATGTCCTAGATTTATCATCTTTAAAATTAGAGGATGTGTCTGATTTAACTGCCATACCTATCTCCCAGGTTGCTGTGAAATTACAGTAAGACTACACAAATATAAGCACTGAGTCAACTAAAGATGTTACTAAGAGTCTGTCACCTAATCTCCTTCCAGCTTCCACTCCATTTCTCTGCTCTTCTCTATAGTACAACCCCTTGAAAGAGTACTTCTACTTTCTCCTTGAAAGCACTCCAACCAGGCTTTCATCCTCCTCATTCTAGGAAATCACTCTTGGCAAGTGACCAATGACCTCCACACTTTGATTAATCCAATATCAGTATTCTTATTTGACCTATCACCAGCATTTGACTTAGTTAAATAACTCACTCCTTGAACACTTCACTTGGCTTCCACTGCACTACTCTCTTGGCTTTCCCATCTTTTCAATTTCCTTTAGTGATTTCTTTTAATCTTCTGACCTCTAAATGCTGGGAGCAGCCCAAGGCAGAGCCCTTGAACTTCTTTTCTATCTATATTCTACTCCCTTGGAAGAAAGAACAACTAGTCTCATAGCTTAAAATAGCCATCCTTATACTGTATCCTTCCAAATTTCTATCTCCAGCTCCAACCTCTCTGAACTACAGATTTATAGATCCAACTCCTTATGACATCTCCATCTGGATATCCAACAGACGTTCTCAAAACTAACCCACACTCCAAATTAATATAAAATGATCTTGATATCCTCATCCCTAAGCCTATCCTTCCTGCAGGTTTCCACATCTCAGCATATGGGAGCTCATTTTTCACACTGCTCAGACCAAAACCTTCGGATAATCCTAACTCCTCACTTTCTCTCATACTCCACATCTAATTCATCAGCAAATTCTGGTCTCTGTCACCATCATCTCTTGCCCAGAATATTCCAATCTCCTAAGTGGTCTCATTGAACCCTGCTGTCTATTCTCAACCTTGAAGCCAAAATGATCCATTAAAAAAGTATAACTGAGCATGTTATATCTTTATCCAAACCTCACATTTTATTCAGAATTAAAATGGCCTACAATAGCCTGCAAGCCCCCCTATATAAAGTAACACAGTGCTGCCCTTTCCTTCAACATAGCAGGATCCTGACGTGAGGGCCTTTCATTTGTTGCTCCCTAGAAGCCCTCCCTCACTTCCTTTCAGATCTCTGCTCAAATGTCAGCTTCTCATTCAGGCCTTTCCTAACTACCTTGTGGTCCTCCCCATGCCCCCTACCTAGTTTTCGTTCTATCGCTTTTTACCATAAGACAAACTAAATATTTACAGGTTATTTTCCTCCACAATATAAATCTACCCTCCACAATGGTGATTTTGTTTTACTCACTGCTATATACTCAGTGCCTAAAACCTTATCTAGCACAGTGCTGTCTCATAGAAACTTTGGGATAAATGGTAATATTCTGTACCTGTACTATACAATACAGTAGTTATCCACCAGCCACACGTGGCTACTGAGCACTGGAAATGTGGCTATAATGTGATCGAGGAACTAAATTTTTAATTTTTAAGTTAATTTTCTTTTAAATAGTCACATGTAATTAGTGACTGCCAAAGAGGAAAGTTGTGGGTCTAGCATGTAGTAGGTTTTCAAATATTTTTGAATTCATATTAAATTGCTGTTATACTGACATAATTGGAGTGACAAAGATCTATATAAACTTATTTTTAAACTTAGGGAAGCAACGTTTTTTTTCAATTTACCTCCCTGCCTCCTACCAACAGTAGTCTCCAATGAGTAGGGATTTGCTCATCTCACATCTCTCTAGGGTCCAATTAAGCAAAAATTCAGGCAGCTCTAGGATCGGCAAAAGTAGAAGAAACAATGTTGAATGAGACATAAAGGTACTTATGAGATCTTTAAAACTATAAATTACAAAGTTCTCCCTACCTAGTAATGAAAGGACTCAATAAACCCAGAAATTATTAAATGAAACACAATGCTCCCAAAGAGGTCCATGGAATAAACTGCTGAAATAAGCCTAGCCCCAGGCCACAGACTATAACAAATCCTTCGAAGGCAGTGAGTAATGGCAGCTAATTATGTATCAATCCTTACGTGATCAGAATTGGTCAGACTGCCCAAAAAACTTAAATCACTGATTCTTGTTCTCTAACCCAAGTCCTGAGTAAATATTTTGTGACCTCAACCTAATTGTCACCACTCTAAGATGAAAGCTATTATCAATATAGATAAATACCAATATAAACTCTCTTTAAACATAAAAAATCAACTGTTTAACTTCTTCATGGCTAAAGAATAATTTTTATTAAGCTGACTGGCCATCTTATCTGATCTTTTGCAATAAGCAAAAAGACTCTACAGCAGTCAAAGAGAAATTCAAGATTTCTTTTTGATGTTGTTTTCAAACTACAAGGGGGCAAAAATTAAACATAAAAGAAGAATCCTTACCTGCATGCAATGAATAGCTAAACCAGGTCCTGTGTACAATTTCTTATGACATATATGGCATTTAAAATGCTTTGCTTTTTGGTGCTGTATAAGGATCTTCTCATCATCAAAATCTCTATTACAATACCTGATCAACATTGTTAAGGTACAAAAATAGCATAATAATGACACTCTCCATAAAAAAAGGTCTTATGATGAAAGAATACGGGTAACAACAAAACGTGGGAACAGTTAAAACCAAAAAGATACTCCACAGAAAGTGCGCTTTTGGTATTTATTATACAAATAAGGATTAACTTGCCACTTAATTTTAGTATTTTCAATTTCCTGGAAGCCCATAATCTCTCTTCACCACCTCTAAACAAACACATCTCAGTAATCAGCAATACAGTTTTGTTAAATTCCCGCGTTAAAAAGATTTATGTGAAATTAACTTCCCTTTTGTCCAATGTGAACGTTTACAAACGCACACTGAAGAATGGAAGGGTTCGATGTTAAAAAAAAAAAATCCCCAAGCTTCTGTCAAGACAGAATTCATTAGATACAAGATACAAATAATCGAGTTTACCTAATACTTGGAATTTACCTAATTTAAGAATTTATCTAATACTTAGAATTTAAGAATTATTTTTAGTATTATTCAGAATCTAAGAATAAGTTCACGGTGAATAAAAATGTCACAATCTCATATGAACAATCCATAAAGTTGTTGGCAATTCCGCATGAATTTATGCTGCCAAGGAATGTATTCAAACTTACACTGGGGGAAAAAACCAGAATTCTTCTCTCACTAGTCAGATCTCACTAAAAGCAGATCACAAAACTCGTTACCGTTTTTCAAATATGATAAACAAATGCAGTTCTGTAACAAAACGGCTTCAGGTACGAAACGCTAAGTAAAATCAATTTTCACATCAAATGTATTAACGCTTCCGGAAAAAGTATTAGAAGGACGCCACGCTTTATTAAGTAATAAGAGACGTGGTGTTTTTTTTTGAGTCTTACAAAGCTAGGAAACTCCACCCCGTAAGAGAACGATTCTCGAAGGTTACGGCGACAGCGGGTGAGACGCGGAAGATAGTTCTTCCCCCAACCACCACAAAAAAAAAAAAAAAAAAAAAAAAAGGAGCTCGAAACCCGGGTTGACTAACCTAAGCCTTTACTAAACCACCGATTCCACAAGAAAACAGGAAAAGTGGGTGACTGACTCCGGAAGCTGTTCCCCAATCCTCCAGAGTCAGTCAGCGTATTATACTCGAAGAAAGTCCCTTTGTTGAACAGGCACCAAAACAACGGAGCGTGGCCGAGCTCCTTAGGGGACACTGTCCTTGGTGCAGGAGTCCAGGCCGCTCCCAGCCGGCCACGCTCGAGCCAAAGCACGCTCCTCCTGAGCCAAGGAGTCCCACGACCCACAGCTGCCAGAGCCTCCCGCCGTAAAGACCCCATTTTCCGAGAAGCCTTCCCAAATCCGACTCCAGCCACCAAGCCACCCACGCCGAGGCCTAAAGCCCAGACACTCTCCGCCATAGGCCAAAGCCAGGCCTCCCCGTCCCAGTCAACACCAACCGGCGCCCCCGCTTGGCCTCGACTTCAGCTGACAAAGGATACCAGCACCACGGCTTCAGCTGCTTCTTCTTCTTGCGACCCATGACTGCGCTCTACCGACAAAGTAAAAGGGAGGAGAAAACGAACAGGAAAAACGAGGCCAAAACCGCTCTCCCTTCAGACCCAACCGCCACCGCCGCGTCCCACAGGAAACAGGCACAAAATGGCCGACGCCCTCGTTCGCTGCTCCGCCTCCCGTCAGCCACTGCGGCTGGAGGCGGTGCCAGGCCGGGCAGAGTCACATGACGCAGGCCTCCGCCCTGAGTGGGTGGAGACTCGCGGCTGCTGAGGGCCGGCCGCCATGTTGTCCGCGCGAGCCGGACCGGCTTCGCTGGCTGTGCTTGCGGATCCTTCTGGGTTTGGTTTCCAAGGATGCCGGCGACCTAGGTACAGCGAGACGCTCGCCAATTGAAGAAAAAAAAATCCTGAAAACATTGCCAGCGTAGTTAAGGGCAGACAACACAACAATAAAGGATAATTGAGGCAGCGCCCAGTTTTTAATTTTATTTCATTTCCCGGATTAATGCTTTTGTAGGAAGTGTTGGACGTTTGCCTACGGCTTGCTAAATCAGAGAAGTCGCAGTCTCTGCCTTGTAGCTCACAGATAGTGACAGATGAGTATACAACGCTGTGTGGTCAGCGCGGCGACGGGGGAAATAGAGGTGCTGCGGAATGTCAGAGAAGGGGAACCCTTACAGGGCCGTGGCCGTCATTGGGGTGTCGAGAACGGCTTCCCGAAGGGTCAGTGGGAGCAAGCGAGGTGCAGGAGAGGGGCTCTCACTAAGGGAGCAAAACGTGCAAGTCTTTGAGGCTGAGCCCCTGAAAAACTTAGTAGTAGTAGGGCTGGAGCTCCTAGGTAAGGGGCTGGTGGCAAGAGAGAATCCTAGGAAGGCTGGCAAAGGCGACTTCAGGAGACCTTAGAAGTAGTCTGAGTTGGACTTCGTACTGGAGTCTCTGGGAAGCAACAGAGGAGTTTTAAGAGGACCGTTAGAGAAGAATGTAAGTAAGAGTAGAGGTGGTTAAGGGTCCAGTGCTTCGTTTCACTTCCCGCCAGTGCCACTGCCTACCTGCATGACTTTGGGCAAGGCACTTAAACTTCGTTTGGCTGCTCTTGGACTTTGGCATATGGAAATAACTAATAATGTAAGTAACTAATAAAAGGAAAAAATAATAGACATCCATGGAGCACTTATCATGTGCCAGGCATGGTGGTAAGTTTTGCGTTTACTTGCCTGAACAAGCCTGTGCTGTAGGTGCCATTATTAACACCCTGTTAATGTAGATGAAGATAAAGAGGCTTAAGAGAGTTGAAGTAATTTACCTAAGGTCACAGTGTTAATAAGTACGGAGCTGAGTTAGATATGAGTTTTAGAAACATCATTTTGGCTCCAGTGTGAACAGTGGAGGTTACAAGAGAGGCAGGTGGTAGAGAATGTGACAGTCATCTGGGTGAGAGAAGAAACTGGTCTGAAGTAGGGTAATGGCAGCAGGAAGAGTGTCCGGGATAGAGACCCATGGGACAGCAGTGGAGGTGGGTGTGGGGTGTGTTTTGTAGGGGGCAATCAGAGGTCTCTGAGGAGGTGACACTTGTGCAGAGACCCCCAACGATATGAAGGAGGAAGACATGCAACTATCTGCTGGCATTCCAGGCAGAGAGAAGAGCAAATTAAAAGACTTAAACTGCAAAAAAATGGAAGTGTTTGAGAAACACCGAGAAATCTGACTGGGACAGAGTGAGCAAGGGGGAAGGTGATAGGAAATGAAGTCAGAGGGAGAGGGAGAGGCTAGATTATGAAGGCCCCTGTATGTCGTGCTATTAGATTCGTATTCACAAGGTTGTTTCTAAGACCCAAGCAGCAGAACACAGTATAAAATAAGCTAAGAGTATGGATTTGGGAGTCACATAGACATAGTTTGATCACTTATATTGACTGAGCCTGTTTCCTCATCCATAAAATGAGGATAAACCCCTCTGTTACAGAGTTGGTCCAAGGATAAATGAAATAAATAGGTAAATATCCTGGTCCATGGTTACTGCATGGCAACTATTAAACTATAAATGCTATGTTGATAGTATTATTGCTGTTGGCATTTGATAGACCAACTTGTGAAGACTAATGTCTTCAGATTATGTTCATAAATAGTCAAGAAGCCAGTAATGAGATTCCTAAGATCACTGTAATTGTCCTTATTACTATTTGGCAGTAATCACAGTCTGCCCTTCCTTATATGTATGTCTTGTCTCTTCAGTTGTGTTGCCAGCTCTTTAAAGACAAAACCTTAAATACTGATTGTCTCTCCAAATGTCCATAGTCTAATTCATTCTTTTGAATAGCTGCATAGTTCTGGTACACATGTGTATTAGTTTCCTATTGCCGCTCTAACAAATTACCACAAATTTAGTGGCTGAAAACAACACAAACATTATATTACAGTTCTGGGGGTCAAAAGTCTGAAATGGGTCGGCAGGGCTGCATTCTTTCTGAAGGCTGTAGGGGAAAATCTGTTTTTTGCCTTTTCTGGCTTCTAGAGGTTGCCCAAATTCCTTGACTTGTGGTCCCAAATTATTCCAGTCTCCCAGTTTAGGTATCACAGTTGGCTTCTTCTCTCTGATCTCCTGCCTCCCTGTTATAAAGACTCTTGTGATTACTTTCGGCCCACTTAGATAATCCAAAGTAATCTTCCCATTTCAAGATCCTTAATTTAATCACATTTGCAAAGTCCCTTTTGCTACATGAAGTAACACATTCTCAGGTTTCAGAGATTAGGATGTGGACGTTTTTGGAGAGTCATTATTCTGCCTATCACCGCATGTACCATAGCTTATTTAATCAGTCCCCTGTTGACCAACATTCACATTGTGTTCAGTTTTTCATCATTATAAACCATGCTGCAAGGAATATCTTTGGGCTCATGTATTTTCATTACTTATGTGAGTGTATCTATTGATGATGTCCTGGTGTTGCATTAATGGTCAACGGGTGTGTGCATTTAAAATATGGATATTTTCAGATTTCTTTCCAAAGCATGTGGGTTAATTTTATTTCTATAACTGTTTATGAGAATGACTGCTTCCTTATACACCTCGGCACAGGGTATTATCAGACTTTTAAATCTCTGCCAATTTGCTGTGTGAAAAGTAGTACCATATACCATCAATTTTATATGAAGTTGAGCATTTTATTTATGTAGTCTTCATTTTTATTTCTTCTGTGAACTGCCCATTGCCTATTTTTGTTGTTGTGGTTTATTGATGAATGACAGCCCTTTGTCTATTATACATCTTGCAAATATTTTTCCTAGTTTGTCATTTGTTTTTTGACTTTGGGCCACACAGAAATTTTTAGTTTTTGCTAGTCATATTTATTCATCTTCCAGCGTAAGACTTACAAGTGTTTTATGTTTAGAAAGGTCTTCTTCAAGAATTTAAAAAAATTCTCCCGCATTTTCACCGTTTTGGGGGAGGCATTTCATTTTAAATTCCTAAATTCTTTATCAAACTGGTGTGTGTTCGTGTGCATGCAAAGAGGTAGGAGAGTAGCTTTATTCTGTCTCCTTGACGTCTTAGACCATAGACGGAGGAGAAAAAGGAGCTAAGAGAGAAATGGCCTAAGTCTTTCCGTGAAGGTAATTTTCTACGCCCGCGAGCCCGTGCGGGGAGACAAGCCCTACCACGTCAGCTTCCTCGCCTGGGAACCGGGGAAACCAGCGGAACGCAGGTGTGAGAGGGCCGGGTGCCGGAGGAGCCCGGCCACCGAGTACTGTACGGCAGCGGGGGAGCGCTTTGGCGGGGACACAGGGCCACTCCGAGGCTGCCGAGATGCTCCCCTCTTTGCAGGAATCGCTGGATGGGGATGAAAAGGAGCTAGAGAGCAGCGAGGAGGGTGGCGCCGCCGAGGAGCGGAGACTCGAGCCGCCGCCCAGCAGCCACTACTGTCTCTACAGCTACCGCGGAAGCAGGTGCAGCGCCCGGCCGCCCCTGTGGCCCCGCGCCTCGGCCCCGCATCCCATCCCCGCATCCCATCCCTGCCCGGCAGCCTGGCCGCTCCCAAACGCCGTCTTCTGCCCTCCCAGCCAAGGTCTCTGGCCCTATGGGCCCTCCTCGCCTCACGCCGTGCTTCCCGGCCCCCATCCTGGACGTTTGTGCTCGGCCCTCCCAAGCCTCTGCGCTCCATCTGCCCCTGTCCTCTTCTCAGCCCCTTCGTGTCGCCCCTGCCCTTTGTTAAGCACAGTGCCTCGCATGCTCGATAAAGTTAATTTCCATCCCCTGCCCTTCCGGTCGTTATCTCCCCACTTTCCTCCATTTCCCCCGGCCCGTCCCCACGTCCACCTTCCAGTTATCCTCTGTCCTTGCGGCCTCTTTTTCCTCCCTCCTGGCCGACTTTTCCGGGCCTCTCGTGGCCCTGTAAAGTATTGTTATTAAGAGGAAATTTCCTTGACTCTTCTGGAGATTTAATTTAGCCTTTCCTCCACCCCTTAGGTGGCCTGGAGAGAGAAGGGGCTCTTGTCAGCACTCTTTTATGAGTTTTCCCTGTCATGGTGCTAGTCAATGGAGGATCCGTGGACTTCCACCTTGCAACATTTTTAGTTGATGGTTCGCCCCTATCCTGCTTGCCGCCCTCCCCCACCCCCCCATATTGCGCTTGAGTTCGGGCCCATAATCGATAACTGTATTGCTTTTGTGGCATGCAGGTTGGCACAGCAGCGAGGGGACAGTGATGATGGAAGCCCAAGTGGCACAAGTGCAGAAACTCCCTCTGGTGAGGATTTCAGGTAAAAACAGCTTCACCATAACCTATGTATATGCTTTTATCTTCCTTGCATCTCTGGCCTGTAGATGTCAGTGGGTACCCTGTTCCCTCTCAGCTTTGGCTGCATCAAGCCATCACACACACATATGCCCTAGGAACCTCATTTGAGTTCCTCATGAGTTCATTCATTCAAGGCTGGGGCAGATCCAAATACTGACAGTGCCCCTGGTGATCAGCTAGAGACAATTATTCTGAGTTTCTTGATTGGAACTTAAGTAAATATTCACTATCATCTGGGTATCAAGAAATTTAAGGGACCGGCCTGGTGTCCAAGCAGCTAAATTTGTGACCTCTGCTTCAGCGGCCTGGTTTGCCAGTTTGGATCCTGGGCAGGGACCTACGCACCACTTATCAAGCCATGCTGTGGCAGGCGTCCCACATATAAAATAGAGGACGATGGGCACCGATGTTAGCTCAGGGCTAATCTTCCTCAAAAAAACAAGAAATTTAAAATCCTCCTTTTCTTCCCCTTTGAAGGCCCTTTCATAGCTCCTGTGTTACAAACAGAATGTAAACTCCAGGACAGCAGGGATTGTTGCCTCTTTTGTTCATTGGTGTCTCCTTACCTAGTACTTTGAGTGGTACCTGGCACAGGGTAGACATTTAGTACATATTTATTAAATAAATGAATGAGTGAACCTTAACACTTGATGCAAAGTAGGGTAGAATACAAAAATACTGTGTTGACGGACTAACTGGATAATGGATGATTTAAGAAATTTTTCACGTGTCGTAATAGTATTTAGTATGCATACATATACATAATATATATATTTTTTAAAAAAAGAAAAGGTTGGCACCTGAGCTAACAACTGTTGCCAATCTTTTTTTTTTTTTATTCTCCCAAAAGCTCCCCAGTACACAGTTGTATATTCTAATTGTGAGTGCCTCTGGTTGTGCTATGTGGGACGCCCCTTCAGCACGGCTTGATGAGCAGTGCCATGTCCGCACCCAGGATCCGAACCAGCGGAACCCCAGGCCACTGAAGCAGAGCACACGAACTTAACTACTTGGCCATGGGGCCAGCCCCTAATATATAGTTTTCAAGTCCCCATCTTTTAGAGATCCCTAGTGATAAATTTATGGATGAAATGATATGAAACCTGAGATTTGCTCCAAAATAAATCTGGGAGGTGGGAGGGTGCAGACAGCATGGGGGTACAGATGAAACAAGATTGGCGCCATAAGCTGATAATTGTCAAGACTGGGTGGTTGGTACATGTGGGTTCATTATACTAGTCTCTCTACTTTTTGTATGTTTGAAATTCTCCATAATATAAAACAAAAGCCCTTGGGAAGTATTGGGTTCGTATTCTCTATTGGGAAATTTGATGACAGAAGACCTTTTCTTCCTGCATATTCAAATTATAGTCTCTGTTTATATTCTAATCTAAACCAAACTGCAGTTTTTATTTTTAGCTCATAAATGATCGATAAGCTGGTGTGTTTACTCATGGGTAGTAGGTAGTTGGGGGATTGAGGAAAGAAGAGGAGGCATGAAAGATCTAGGAGAGGAGAAGAGTGCGTGAGCCAGGAAATGTGGAGCTAGCGGGGCAGCAGTAAGGGCCCACTCAAAGCTCGTGAGCATTAATTGAAAAGGAGACTAGACACTGTGGCCGTGGGTTTTTGTCCAACCACATTCAACTGCATAGGTGCAGCTGCAGAGTAGGTAGAAAGCTGGACTAACCAGAGCTGAAGTTTTGCTGAGAACGTACGGTGAGGTGAAAACAACAAAGTGGTTGAGTGAGAATATGTGCAGGGGTGTGATTATAATCACTGACCGTGGAATTTCAGCTGGGTAAGGAGGAGAGAAGTGAGGAGATGAGAAACTTGAGGGACTGTGAAAAAGAGGTAAGATCAGTGGATTGGGAGTCCCAGGGGAGTTGTAATACTAGAGAGAATGAGCTGGAAAGATAGGACTCTTTTATTCTTTTTTTTTTTTTTTTGAGGAAGATTAGCCCTGAGCTAAGTGCTGCCAATCCTCCTCTTTTCACTGAGGAAGACTGGCCCTGAGCTAATATCCGTGCCCATCTCCCTCTACTTTACATGTGGGATGCCTACCACAGCATGGCTTGCCAAGTGGTGCCATGGCCGCACCCAGGATCTGAACCGGCGAACCCCAGAGCCCCGAAGCGGAACGTGCGCACTTAACCACTGAGCCACCAGGCTGGCCGCAAGATAGGGCTATTCTAAATTGTTTGATGAAGTAGATCATACTTGGTGACATACGTTCCTAGAAGTCCCACCAATAGGAGTCAGATAGAAAGCTCTTTCAAGTCCTTAGACTCTGGGTTTTAGTAATATTCTGTCTGACTCATGGGACGTGAATGCAGTAGCCCCCTGGTAAGGAATGTGTGTCTTTCATTGTCAAGCCTCTCCTTGGTGGATACTAATCTACCCTCTGAAGTGGAGCCAGAGCTGCGTGGTTTCATTGCTAAGCGTCTTTCGAAGGGAGCGGTCTTTGAAGGGCTGGGTAATGTTGCATCTGTGGAGCTGAGGTAAGTGTAAAATGTGCTGTGTCTTTGAGTTTTTATTTCTGAGCTAAATATGAGAAGTGATGAGAAACTCTAAAAGATCAGCTCCTACTAGACCTGCAGAGTTCATCTTTGTTCTCTGGCACTGGGCCTCACACATAAACATTTGTGGACTGGAATTGAGCGAATGGCAGAGACTGCCTCCTAAGCGTACTTATTTAGTATTGTACTTGGCAGAAAAGAGTTAATTACCAAAACTAAAATTGTAGACTTTGCAGTTTGTAAAGTGCTTTCACAAACTTTGATACCATTCTCTTTACAAAGGGGCAAAAGAGCAGATACTCTTACTTCCATTTTCAGATGAAGAAATAAACTCAGAGAAGTTCAGTTCACAAGGCTGGTCACATGAATGGAGTTGACTTAAACTTGGGTGTCTCCAGTTGAATTCCAGCCGTCTTTCCATTACTCTCCTGATTGTAGCTCACTTCAGACCATGATGTTGGCATCAAGTCCCCTCAGGAGTATGAGGCCACAGCCCCAAGTTAAGGCCACAGGATAAACATGTCACATCTGCCTGGAGCATCAATGATTTGTGAAGTTTTGGGGAAGAGAAGAGACATGTTTATATTTATGTAAACATGGATATACTATGAAAGAGAGTGAAATGTGCATGAATTTTTCACATCAGACAAGAGAATTCAAAGAAATTCCATGTTTGTTACGTGCTCCTTTAGCTAAAGCCCATCATGGTATATATTCATTTTCCTCTGCCATTACAAGTAAACCAAGGAGAAGCCTGGGAAGTTCTGACCTAGTTGGCAATCCATCAATATTGCCAGACCAAGACAACAAGCGTTCCAAGCAGTCCACAAAATTAGATGCATGAGTTATCAAACTAATACATTTTACCTTTTTCTTTCTTTTCTAGAATTCCAGGTTACCGGGTCGGTTGTTATTACTGCCTTTTCCAGCAAGAAAAACTGCTTTCTGAAATAGCAACAATGGACTCTGAAAACAGCCCTTCAGAGTATGTCGTCTGTTTTTTAGGAGGGTCTGAAAAAGGACTTGAGCTATATCCTTTTTTGGTCTTTGAGGAGATCAGGAGGAAAAACATGGGAAGGCAAGTGGAGGAGTATTACTACCAACCTCCAAAAAGCTTTTCTGCCCCTTATGTATGCACTTGAATTTCATACCTTCATACAATCAGTTTGTCTTGACTTGTTTTAATTTACAGTTTGCGTTATTTGGGAGATTTTATATTTCCTGTTGAGAGAAAATTGTGTCTCGATTCATCCTTTATTGCTTCCTTAAGAACATACTTTCAGGCTTGAATTGGACAAGTACATTCAAGGGCTGAAAAATAACATGAACGGTGAGGTAAGATGATGGAGTTAATAGTTTTTCAGACTGAGATGCCTAACATACTGTAGCTGCTATACTTGTCAAGTCATAGAAGTGACACAAAGGCACCTCACTTCTAAAAATTTGCTACTTTTGGGCTCATAGAAAGGTGCTTGTGAAGGGAAGCAGAGAACACAGTCCTAAAAGTGCTGTAAGTTTCACAAGACTGCTTCCGATGTTTTATATCCATGAAAAATTCAATCCATTGAGTTCAGTGGTGTATGATGACAGGCCAAGTGAGGAAGGGGAGGCTCTTGTCCTGATTTCTAGGCACATAAGATTTATAATCTGGTTAGAACTAAGGGTCCACGAAACCTCTGGCACCAGAGACATGCTATGCAATGGTATGACTGTCCTTGAACTCAACACTAAAGATTTTTGGAAACATTGCATTTTTCATTAATCTTTTATGAATTAGATACATCCATATTGATTAATTTATCCATACCTTTTAAAAACTATGCATTCAGCTTGTAGCAGTTGTTAAAGTCATAACTCTTGGAAATTTACTACCCATTACATGTGGTAATAATTCCTTTTACTTGTCATGCACTTAGAGGACACTGCAGGGGAGGAAAGGATAGCATAGGAGTGAGCCAGGGACACGAGTCTAGGGTGAGCTGCTCTCCCAGACTGGAGCCATTCCACTGGTCCCCAGAGAGCAGCACAGCCTAGAAAGCCAGATGTGCTCACAGCAGCATGTCTGACAACTGGAGTGGGCTTGAGTTCTTTGATGAGTTAACTTGTATCCTTCTCTATTCACATCATGAGTGTGAAGGAACTGTCGACATTCCTTTAGTCATTCAACAGGCACCTAAGAAGCTCATACAAGGATGTTTCCGACACTGTACTGGGTGCCAGGAGATGAGTATTATTAAGAGAGTATCTCTAGTGTGTGCACAGTTTAGTGGGGGGAGATGTACATGTAAATGCCCAACTCCTCCCAGTGGAGAAATAGCATGGAACTCTACTAATTCACTCTCTTCATATCATACAGTGCATTTCTTAGTGTTTTTAAGAAATTCAGTACAGAATTAAGCCCCACTCTGCCTAACAAGCCCAGGAAAGTGATATCACAATTCCTTTTTTTGAGTTGGTAGTGTTAACTTAAAAAAGCTGTCTGTCCCCAGTTCTTTCACTGTTAAGAGTATCGTGAAGAAAATGTTAAGTCCACTAAGGTGAAGGCTTATGTTAAAGCAGATGACATTCTGTCTTGATCTAGGAAAGGGGCCTGGAGAACCACATAAAGTCCTACCTGAGCAGCTGGTTTGAGGATGTTGTATGCCCAATCCAAAGGGTTGTTCTTCTCTTTCAGGAGAAGCTTACCTTTCTGCTGCATGCTGTAAGTATTGCCCAAACCAAAGCATTTCTTTACTATAGCTAATCACTTTGGCAGAGTTTGGATTATTTAAAGGCATACTCATTTTCTCTGAACATTACTTTTTCCCCCCTGAATATTCATTCAAACTATGCTTGCAATCTGTATAAACCACACTCTATTTACTCAGATCTAGAAAGTTACATCACTAAGATAGAACTGCAAATACTGGCTGAGTCTTCCTAATGGGATAAAACATTTTTAAATAATTACTTTTTTTTTAAGATTTTATTTTTCCTTCTTCTCCCCAAAGCCCCCCAGTACACAGTTGTGTATTTTAGTTGTGGCTCCTCCTAGTTGTGGCATGTGGGAGACCATCTCAGCATGGCTGGATGAGCGGTGCCATGTCTGTGCCCAGGATCTGAACCAGTGAAACCCTGGGCCACCGAAGCAGAGTGTGCAAACTTAACCACTCGGCCATGGGGCTGTCACCTAAATAATTACTTCTGAAGTGATCTGGGAGAGGTATAATTTCCAAAACAATTTGAGAAGGAAAACCAAAATCCAATGTGATTTTAAGTATATAAAAATGTCCAGGTAAAAAATGAAAAATTCCCTGAAATATCCAGAAAATTGGGAAGACTTGAGTAAATGGCTGGATTTTTCATTTAAATATGTGATGGGTAGATGCAGCTGAGACTGGATGGTCCCCTGAGACCAGGGTGATGCAGCCAAGTTTCAGACTGTTAGTGAGCAGCAGCTGAACAAGGCTCTGGAGAGCTCCTAGGCAATGCCCCTCAAGCATCATCTGGTGTGGTGGTTATTGGGGGAAGGTGACGTTTAGTCATGAGTAGCTGCTCAATAATGAAAACTGGAATACATGTATCAATTAGGCTTTATTTGTCTTTCGTAGGCTCTGAGTTATACTCCTGTTGAGGTTAAAGAATCTGATGAAAAAACAAAGAGAGACATTAACAGGTAAAGAACAGTTTTGCAAAGAGAGAACCTTTTCCACAGCAAGTCTGATATTTACATTTTTAAAACTCCCCTAGTGTAGAAGAAATTTGCTTTCTCCCTCCCATCCTGTAAAACTGTTTGTAGTAAAGGACTTGTGTATGTGGCAGATTTCTGAGCGTGGCCAGTCTTCAAGGCCTTATTCATGAAGGTACCATGACATCTTTGTGCATGGCCATGACGGAGGAGCAGCACAAGTCTGTGATCATCGACTGCAGTGGCCCCCAGCCTCAGTTCTACAATGCAGGTGAGCCACAACCTCGGAAGCAGCCCTCCTAGGGCTCTTGCGAGTCTCTGTTTTTGGACTGAGAGCAAATGATACAAACTTATCCTTCCTGCCTTGTGAAGTTTTACATATTTATCCCAAACTCACCAAAAACAATAGCAATTCTAGAAACATGGAAATCATGTCATCCCTAGCAATTCCACTCCTAGGTATATAGAGAAACTCTTGTATATGTATATAAGGAGACTAATACAAAAATGTTCATAAAAGCATTGTTTGAAATAGCAAAGAATTGGAAGCAACTTAAATGTCTGTCAACAGGAAAATTGATAAGTTGCTACAGTCACATAATGGAATACTATATAGCACTGAAAGTAAATGAAGTAGAGCTACATGTCTTAATGTAGCTCACAAACATACTATTTAGCGAAACAGCCATTAAAGAAAAATACATGGAGTTTAACATATGCAGAATAATACTATATAGTGCTTAGAGATAAAAAAGTATGTGGCAAAAGTTTAAAGAAGCACATGGGAATGATAATCCTTTCTGATGAGAAAGGAGCAGGATGCAGTTGGGAAGAGGTACACGGGGGCTCCAGCGATTTTGGTATTTCTTAGCGAGGTGGCGAGTACACTATTTTTTTACAGCATTATGGAGAAGTCTTAAATAATTCATTATAAGTGTTTTCATAAAGAAAAAATGTCACATGTATACGAATATCAAATCATTATGTTGTACACTTGAATATGATATGTCAATTATACCTCAATTTTAAAAAGTGAAAATAAGTAAATAAATGTCTTGTGCTTTGTAGGATTTCATTTTTACTATTTAATTTTTCTAAAATATTTTACAGGAAGCAACCGGTTTTGTGAGGCCTGGATGCAGGCGTTTTTGAATGGTGCTGAAGGGGGTAACCCTTTTCTTTTTCGACAAGTATTGGAGAACTTTAAACTAAAGGTAATTAATTGACTGTGTGCCAACTGCCACTTACAATTTTTATCTGAATTTTAATTAGCACCAGCGACAGAGTAACAAATTTGCTTTGCAGCTGTGATGGCTTAAATAGGACATTCTCAAAACCAGAACCCTTAGAAGCCATTTACTTTATATTTTTCAGTGGCATCTGCATACATATCATTGCATTTCTAATTAATGGGTTGAATGCTTGCTTTTATCTCAGGGATATCAACCTTATAATTGGTGACATATTTTAGTTGGAAAGCACAAAAAAGTGGTTCAGTGCCTAAGGTTCAAAATTCTGGTGGGGAGGAGTGTTGTCACTTATTTAGGAGATTTTTTAAGTATTTTTACTTTATATAAGAGATTTTGTTCTAGCAAAGGCAAAGCACATTAACAATAAAAATGGTGGAAATATTTAAAAACCAACCTCTCACCAACAGGTGTTCAATTCTCAGCTAGAAAGGAGTTATTTCTCAGGCTTCATTATTTTCTCACTAAATGTGTATTTCACTGGGTAATCTTTTTCTAGGCCATACAAGACACAAATAATTTGAAGAGATTTATCCGACAGGCAGAAATGAATCATTATGCTTTGTTTAAATGTTACATGTTCCTAAAGAACTGTGGTAGTGGAGACATCCTTTTGAAGATTGTTAAAGTGGAACATGAAGAAATGCCCGAAGCCAAAAATGTGGTAGCTGTCCTCGAAGAATTTATGAAAGAAACTCTCGCCCAAAGTTTTTGATCACATGTTTTGAGAGGATTCTATTGTGATGTTGTATATTCAAACCTTGGTGTTTGAAACTGCAGTTATTATTGTCATAGGATTGCTCTTTAAGATGATTTGAAACACATTCTAGATTTTTTCATTTTGTACTTTTAAGATTTAACTTAGACATAAAAATCTGAGGAATGTCTTCACTGAGTCCTAGATACACACGTGTTAGAGTTGTGGAATTTTAGTACGTTGCTGGTCCCATAGATTCTAGACTTCAGGGAGTTGTTGCTTAAAAAACTTCAGAGGTAATTTTGTGGCTTCTCTCAGGAGTTTGCTGCAGTATTTAGCAACTTTTCCTCCCAGAAAAATCAGAATACTTCTTTTTCAATGTACTATAGCTTCTTTAAAAAAATGTACTTCTAGTCTTAGCACCATGACGCTATTTCAAAGACAGATCTGTGCATCCTGTGGGTGCTTGATAGATTTTTCTGTCTGATTGATGATGGCATGGATGATGAAGCTGGCTTTTAAGTCAATATGCAAATAAATCATGAGTGTGTAAGAAATTAAATGAGCTTTAAAAATAGATGCACTGGCTTCAAGATAAAACACCATCTCTGATGGAAAGCTACTGCACAAGCAGCCTCCATCACTTCTCTTCATTCCTGTGTTCACGGGTCTTTGCCAAGAGCCTGTGTTTTCTTTTCTCTTTTATATGAAATGCTGGAGTTTTTAAACAGAGTTAAAAAAAATAACATAAATTTTACAAGCAAACTGTAACATAAAGAATGCAAACAGAGATTCTTCATGTTAGAGTTACTCATTGATTTTACTTTTTTGTAATTTGTTACAAGCCTCATATTGTTTTACTCTGAATCAATTGAAAGTGCCCTCACCTAGAGCCATTTGTAATTCCCATGGAAGCCAGTTGTAGCCACACACAGGACTGCAGTTGGTTCTGCATAGCTCTTTAATAAATCCATTTGATAATGATTTCTGTTTAGAATATCAGAAGTCTTGTGTTCTCACTGCCCTCAGGATGCTCAGAGGAACACAACCCATAAAAATCCTCTCCTAAACTCATCTAAATTCACATTAAGTGCTGAGTTTTACCTTTCAAAATGACTGACAAGGGCCTCCTGCTTTCTCTTCTACAGAAGTCTGGGGACGTGACTCACTAAGGCATTTTTTCTTTTAATGAGAAATACAATTCAGGATCTTCATAAAGGCTTTCATGTGGTTTTAAACTTTAATAACTTGGATCATAGGCAATGTAGAAAAAATATCCAAGTTGCATTTTTTTTATAGCATTACATTCAGAATGATATGGGAAATAAGCAATTTTATGGCACTACCCTTGAATCCAACTTTATCTAATGTACTTGGTTGCCCACTTGGAAATAAATTTTTTAATAAACAACATTAGGATATCAACATTTTGAGTCTGGAAAACATATTTTTCATCTCCAAATTCACATGTCATTCAAGAGCCCATTTTGTAAATGGCACTTAAAAGCAAATGTAATACCTTCCTTAAGTCACTTATGGATATAGACAAGGTATAATTATATATTCTTTATATGTACTTTTATATATATTTTTTGTAATGTAGGCTCACTACATTACATGGCTATATACAATACAGTCATATTTTAAAAGTCTGTGACAAACTGTCTATCTCTGTAGACAAGGAAAATGGTGACATGGAATTGAATATCTTGTTGGCCATGAGAAGGAACTCAGAGCCTCATGACCATAATAAACATGTACTGTATTCAAATTTTAATAAGCTAATGTATTAACTTTTAAAGTTTTATAAAGGATTTGTTCAGGTGTAGAATACATTTATGTATTATTTCTGTGCTATACACACAGAGGAAATGTATGTTTGTCATGTATCAAAATGGTCTCAGTGTATCTGTAATTATATTTGTAATAGTAATAATAAAACAACTTTGCTTCTCACCAACGCAGTTGTTTTTATTTAATGAGCTCAATTCCCAAGCCTGGCATTTTTATTAATTTGCAGCAAGTTTATGGGAAGTTATACTTGTTATGCTAAGGCATTTGTTGAAGGAAATCAAATCACCTGCTGGCATATACCTTTCTGCATCTTGCAGGAGGCATCAGGCAGGGTGCAAGAGCAATTTCTATCACAATGTTTTATTCATTGTCCAGTAAAGTTACTCCTGTGGAACTCAATAACCCAAGTCACTTCCTTTCACTCTCATTCATTATTAACCATGACAGAATGCCTGTCCTTTACCAGAGGATCATTTATACCAGATGCCAGGAAAGCCTGCAGACTTCTTGGAAGTAAGATTCAGTTACTAGGACCACATTTTCCTAACCCTATGTCTTCTTAGTAATGGAAAGCCTGCTGACTTCAATGAAGTCTTTCCACGTGGAGGTCTAAGAGGGCAGCTCTGGTTCTATAACTTCTAAACTTCCTATCGTGCCTCACAGACTTTAAATCACTCTGAGTCGGCGTAAATGCTAGCTTCTGGGAATCGGGGCTGATAGGGAGCAGTAATGATTTGATAGGTGTGGATCTTCTCGTAAGCTACTTGGAGGAGGGCTGACAGCGTAGATCCCGTTCCATGAACACCAAGTGAATGCTCCGAGGTTCACTACTCGGCTTACAGTGTTCATTACTCATAGACAGTGAGGCTGTATCTTTAATCAAACACCCCGACACTTCTACAAGTTGGCTGTGCTTCAAGTTCCATACAAACACCTGAGGGCTGAGAGCATGAGCTTTGGAAGCAGGCAGTCTTGAGTGTGAATCCAGCTATACCGTATACCACCAGCAAGTTCTCTAAGCCTTCCCCTCCTGTGTAAATATGGGAATATTTACACCCACTGCACACCAAGTAGCTGTGCAATTAAATGAGAGTAATATATTGAAAATGCCTCACCCAGTGCCTAGCACATAGTAGGTACACAGTAAATTATCTTCATAATTACCTCATTATCAGTAAACATTAAGTTATTGGAAGAATGAGAATCTGGTAGGAGAGAAGAACCAGAAAAGTGAAAAGAGAAGTGATAGGCCACAGACAAAGCTAACTATATAGCTTTGGGCTGTCCAGGCAGCTTGCCTATCAATGCCTCGGGTACTGGAGCCTGGAACTGACCCACTGGAACACTGGTGCCCAGAGCGGGCCCTGGCTTTCCTTCTAGGGAAGTCAGTTCTCCACACTCCAAACAGAGGTGACTTCTTTGACCTTTACCCTGAACTGTCCTCTAAAGTTTGTTCTGGGATGACTTCTGCGGCATTTCAGAAATATTTTAAAATAAGACACGGGAAACTGATCTGAAAGAACATTATGGGAAACATCTCCCACACTGAATTTAACAGGGTAGTTTAATTCTCAACAGTTATGAATGGAAAAACCACACACAATGCCTTTTGGCTGACAAAAACCGGTGAAAACAATTCACTTTCTCAGGCTTTATCCACTTAAAGCCCACTTGCTTGTTAAACTTACCAGGCACCAGACTTCAACATTTATGCTCCTCCTCTTATCCCCTTCTGTATGTGAACTGACCACGCCCTTTTACTCTGAGAACATTCCTACCCCTTCCTCAAGATCAGGTTGTTGACAGCCCCCAGAAAGACCTAAAGACTAGGCTAGTCGGGTAAAGAAAGAAGTACCTAGGATATTTCAAAGAAGATTCATCCAATAATAATAGTCAAAATATTACTCTCTCATCAGGGTATAGTGTAAGAGTGGAAGGGGAAGGCAGAGCACCCACCAGGATAGCTGGCACAGACGTTGTTGACCTGAAGCCATGGATAAGTTTCCTTATTCACAGTTCCTGAGCCCCCCCCCCCGCCCCGCCACCAAACTGTACACAAAATTGTCTGCACATTTTTTTTTTTAGGGAAGATTAGCCCTGAGCTAACATCTGCTGCCAATCCTCCTCTTTTTTTGCTGAGGAAGACTGGCCCTGAGCTAACATCCGTGCCCATCTTCCTCTACTTTTTTTTTTTAAAGATTTTATTTTTTTCCTTTTTCTCCCCAAAGCCCTCCAGTACATAGTTGTATATTCTTAGTTGTGGTCCTTCTAGTTGTGGCATGTGGGATGCCACCTCAGCGTGGCTTGATGAGCAGTGCCATGTCCGTGCCCAGGATTCAAACCGACGAAAACACTGGGCCGCCTGCAGCAGGGCGTGTGAACTTAACCAGTTGGCCACAGGGCTGGCCCCATCTTCCTCTACTTTATATGTGGGACGCCTGCCACATCATGGCTTGCCAAGTGGTGCCACGTCTGCCCCCGAGATCCGAACCGGCAAACCCCGGACTGCTGAAGCGGAACGTGTGCACCTAACCACTGTGCCACTGGGCCAGCCCCTGTCTGTGCATTTTTATGGGAAGAGAAATCATAGCTTTCATCAACCACTCAAAAGAGTTCAGTAATTCAAGAAAAGTTAAGAATCACCAAGCTAGTAACACCAGCGCCAAGCACCAATGCCCCCACCCATCCTGCATAAATCGTAGACCCAGCACCACTGCTGTCCACCCTCTCCCGCCACCCTGACCCAGACCACCACGAAACAGGCTCCAATGCCAGCCCTTTAGGTCACTTTCTGAATAACCGATGGCTTAAAAAAAAAAATCTTTAATGGAATCTGTGCTCAAATAATATGTTACAACAAAAATATACAGAATGTACACAATACAAAAATATTTAGAAACAAACATTGCAGCTTGTGTTTTGTTTTCCACTTACTCAAGTCCTTGGGGGAGGGGGAGTTCAGTGTTTTTTAAGGCAGAGGAGTATCGGTGCTTTCGAGCCAGCACTGGGAGCAACATGAACAATGCCATGAAAGGGCTTCCATGGCACCCGGGAATCTGCATTATCTGCAAACGAAATCGGACACTGGGGGAAGATCTGAGCTTGGTGAGTAATGACTCCCCTATTCCTCTGGGCAAGAATGTGCTCATGGAAATTGAGAGTCCTATTAGCTGGCAAAAGTGCCCCATTAGGGAGCTCTTCCTAATTAAAAAACGAATGATTAATGGTGTCATTAAAGCAAAATTTCTCCTTTGAAGGTTTGTTTTCCTTTCCCCAGTTTCTGAGATTCCTCTTCCGTTGAACGAGCGAGGGAGCCTATGGATGCTGTTTGGGGAATCCCCAGCTCTCAATTTCCACATCCTGCAGATGAAAGGCCGGCCTCCCTCACAGCCTGATGATTCACACCACCCTCTGCTTCCCAGCACACTGGCCAGGTGGCCATATTGGACGAGGAAGGAAGGATGATGAGGATGTGTGCTGCTGGCAGGGCCCCAGGAGCACGGGACAAAGGGACCCGCTGGGGAGAAAGCCAGACAACAAAAAGGAAACCTTTCTTACCAGACAGCTCTCTCCAGCCCTGGATTGGAGACCTGGGTTGTGTGAAGTGACCGTTGTCACCACTGTACGGCCCTGCTTAGAAGTGATGGTTGGGGGAGGGTGGTGGAGATGGGCGTCAAGCAGAACAAAGAACTTTTGGGTTGCTTTTGCATAGGGAGCTGCTGGGGCTGGTGGCCTGAGGTGTGGATAGGCTCCCATAGCGTGTCCCAGACCTCGGAAGACAGACTTAACAGGGTGGGAGATGGGACTTCCACTGCAGGCAGTCCTTCTCGGGAACAAGCTTCCATCGGAAGTCCTGAGGGAACTAAGTGCTTCTCTGAGGGCTTTCTAGAGGCTTCTAGTTCAGTCTTCTCACCCAAGAGAGAAGAAGGCCCCTCTCCATGCCACACCAGACAAAAGCAGAGGGCTCTCCTCTCCCTCCACCCACAGCCCAGAACCCCCAGGTGCCAGGGCAGGATCTGGAGGGGAAGTCCTGCCTCCAGCAGGGCACCAGTTGCCTCTGCTCCTCCAGGAAGGGACGGTACCACTCAGGTTTAGCAGTGGCTGCAGCCTATGCTGAGGCCCCCTTTGTCATTCTTACCTAAGTCTTCTTGGCTCCCATTCCAGCTCAGAGTCTCTTCTCCTAAGAAGCTGACTCTTCTCACTAGGCCTTTCTCTCAGTAGGGCAAAGAAGGGCTGGCAGGGCACAGACAAGATGCCCCAGACTGACAAAACTCAGCCAGAGATCAAGGCCCACACCACCTCAGGCCGGCAGTCCTCAACACAGTGTTGGCACAGTACAGCATGACTTTAGGAGCCATATGTGGGGACCAGGACCATCTATTTAGCACTGGGCAATGACAGGGAAGGGCTTGGCATAGCCTGGGGCTAAGTAGGGGGTGTCCCTGGGTAGGAAGACTCTGCGCATTTAATGTGATCACCGGGGACAGGAAGACACAGTGGCCCAAGACCCAAAAGGCCTGGCCTGGCTGACTCTGGACCTCAGTGCACGTAAGGGCTCTGAGGAGCAGATGGCTAGCAGAAGGCAGTTCCCACACTCCTGCCCTCATTCCTCATGAACCCAGGCCTCTATCTCCCAGACTTGGGTTCTTTGTCCTCCTGGGCTGTCAGTGGTTGGGACTTCCAAGAGCAGGATAAAGGGAATGACATATTTTGTCAAAGGTCATCCTCGCCCCAGGCTCCCCTCAGGGCCGGCACCAACTCCTGCTAGGGGGTAGTTTTCCCACTAGTGACTTGGGGGTGAGGATGGCCCTGATCATCTCCAAGTCCCCTCCAACCTCTGAGCATCTGAGCCTACGAGCTGCCTTTGCCTCTGACACTCATCCAAACACCCAATAAATCTCTAGAAGCGGTTTTCTGCCTACATTGGGACTCCTTTTACTGCAGCCTCCTCTGCCCCCAACTCAAATGGACACATAGCCTCAATACTCCTGCTCCAGCCTCCCTTGCACCCCCAAAGCTCCCTTCCTCCTAATGGAGACAGACAGAACCTTTTCAGATATGAAGGCCATCCCAGAGGGAAACAAGGGCAGAACTTGGCAAAGGCAAGGAAAACCTCAGCATCCTGAAGGACCCTGGAAGGCCCTAGGTCTTCCTCCACCACAGACA